TACAAATTCCAAATGGAAAACGTCCCCTGTTCCCCCACCCTTACCCCAAGTCCTGCATCTGCCTCCGACAATAAGCCTAGTAGCTTAACATTATTTGTTTTTTATGATCATGAAAATGTATTGAATTTTTTTTCTAAATAGGACTCATTAAGTATCTCCAAGAAATCCTTGATAGAGAATTTCCTGCGTGTACTCTTGGTGCTAAATTTCAAAAGATGTGAAGGATCTAGGTGAGCTACACAGTTCAATGTTGTAATGTTTGTAATAACTGTGTGCACAGCGACTCACTCGTGTCACTATGTGTAACATTTGGTATGTGTAACATGGGGCTATGTGTAACTTGAGACTAAATGTAACATGACTATGTGTAACATGAGGCTATGTGTAATATTTGGTATGTGTAATATTTGGTATGTGTAAGGCTATTTGTAACATGAGGCAAAGTGTAACATGAGGCCAAGTGTAACCTGAGGCAAGTGTAACATGAGAATAAATGTAACATGAGGATAAGTGTAACCTGAGGCAAGTGTAACATGAGGATAAGTGTAACATGAGGATAAGTGTAACAAGTGGTTATGTGTAACATGCGACTATGTGTAACATGAGGCTATGTATTAATACATTCCATAGGTTACATAGTTCAACAGACCTGTTATTGGATTCAGAAGATGATCAAGTTGGTGATTTTGTGACTCCAGTCCCACACAACGTAAACTGGACGCCTCAAGCTAAGCTATTGGCCAGTGGACAATCTCATTCAGCTGCTGTAGTGGGCGAACAGCTGTACTCCTGGGGCCTAGATGAAAATGGAAGGTAAATCTTACACAAATTTTGTGTATTTCTGTAAATAAAATGGTAAATCTTTAAAATATAATGGAATTGATTTGTTGAAATTTATAGACTAAAACAATTTGAACCAAGTTCCCAATGTACTTGAAGACTTGGATAAACTCCTTCAATTTCATTCTAGTAACCTCAGATTTTCTCCATTCTTTAGGCTAGGCTTGGGAAACACGCAACCAAACACATCTGCAAGCCCACAGTGTATCCATAGCCTGCCTTACAGGGTTGTAGCTGTGTCGTGTGGCAAGCATCACACCGTCGCTTTAACAGATCATGGGGTAAGTAACATGCATCAACCACATTTTCAACATAATTTATGAGTGATTTTACAATTTGGATGGCGACTAAATATTATTTCAGTATATTTACTGCCGAAGCAAGTGTATATTATTAAATAACATTTTTAGCCGCCTATGATATTGGCTCCAAAGCTGTTTCTAATGCCTGTCATTGTTTTTTAACAAAGGTATTCAGCTGGGGCTCATCTCAGTTCGGTCAACTGGGACACGGGAACCATTTGACCTGCACTAGGCCAATGTTGGTGTCAGCATTGCAGGGGGAGCTGTGTGTAAGCATAACTTGTGGACAATATCATTCATTGGCCCTGTCAGCTGATAATAGGTAAGAATCATATATAATCATGTTAACATTATATATTTATTTAATTATATTTGTTTCAGATCTGCAATATCAATGAAAATAATGTGATTTTGCATAATGCTGTTGTCCGCCAACAGTAAACTCAAATGGCCCCTCTCATATTTTTTTAACTATAAGTAAATAATGTTCAGTTGATTCAATTTCTTATTTCAGAGTTTATAGCTGGGGCTGGGGAGTTCACGGTCAGTTAGGATCCGGAAGCATTGAGGACCGCTTGACCCCAATGGCAATATCTGCATTGGATGACTATGGTGTAACTATTATCGCAGCTGGTTATTGCCACAGCGGTGTGGTTGACCGCGATGGGCGAGTATGGTTGTTTGGTAATGGATCATTTGGTCAGCTTGGAAGAGCAGTTAGTAAAGCCACTTCACCTATTGAACTGATATCATTAAGTAGAGAGAGGGTTAAGCTTCTAGCCTCAGGACGGTTCCACATGGTAAGTGTCCCCAGCTTAGGATTTGCTGTTATAGATGTTGATTGCAATCTGAAATATCATTTACGTATTATTTAACTGCAGAGAAGAAGAATTTTCAAATAATAATAATAAGAATAATAATAATCATGATTTATGAAGCACCAATATCACAAAATTGTGGTAAAAACCAAAGGCGCTGTACATGTTTAGATGTTAAAAAGGTGTGTTTTGAGTTTGGTCTTAAAAATAGCAAATGAAGATGAGTCAGCAATATGTCTAGGGAGGGAGTTCCAAAGAGTGGCAGCTGAAAATAAATATTTAGGAAGGAGATCAAGTAGATAAGATGGCTGTTGGAGTCGCAGTTCTTCAAATGTTAGTAATAGAATGTTATACATTATTCATGAGTTAATGGGATGCCAGAAACAGATTGAAGGAGGGTTCAGCTGGTCCAGCCCCTCTTAATTTGTTAGTATTTTCGTACTATATGTCTTCATATCATCATATTATTTTGCAGGTTGCTATTACTAAAACAGGTAAAGTGTGCACCTGGGGTAGTGATCCTCAGACTCTACGTCAGGTGATGCATGTCTCACGTCGTCATCACCGTGCCAAGGGCAAGGCTGGCCCATGCGTCATGGACACAAGCTACAATTTTCCAAGGCTTGTGGAATCCCCTGATGGTGTTGATTTCCAACAGGTTTGTACACAACACTGATTTCTCTCTGAAAGCAATATTTGTTAGAACATAGATTTCTGATTTTGGTTCCTTTCTTAAGGATAATATTTATATATTTGTTGTATTTTTTCAAATTTCCTCTTTAATTCTCTTCTTTAGTTGGAATGCGGGCAGAACCACTGCCTAATGGTCACTTCTTCTGGCCAGCTCTATGC